TATTTTTTTTTGTTGTTGTTGTCTGATTGCTGTTTCTAGGACTTCTAGTACAATGTTGAACAATAGTGGCGAGAGTAGGCATCCTTGTCGTGTTCCTGATCTTAAGGGAAAGGCTCTCAGCTTTTCCCCATTGAGGATGATATTCACTGTGGGTTTTTCATAGATGGATTTTATTAACTTGATGCTCCCTCTATCCCTATACTCTGAAGACTTTTAATCAGGAAAGGATGCTGTATTTTGTCAAATACTTTTTCTACATCAATTGAGAGGACCATATTGTTCCCTCTCCTCTTATTAATGTGCTCTATCACACTGATTGATCTGTGAATGTTGAACCACCCTTGCATCCCGGGGATAAATCCCACTTGGTCGTGGTGGATGATCCTTTTACTGTATTGTTGGATCCTATTAGCTAGGATTTTGTTGAGAATTTTGGAATCTGTATTCATCAGGGATATCAGTCTGAAATTCTCCTTTTTGATGGGGTCTTTACCTGGTTTGGGGATTAAGGTAATGCTGGCCTCAGAGAATGAGTTTGGAAGCTTTCCTTCTGTTTCTATTTTTTAAAGCAGCTTCAGTAGAATAGGTATTATTTCTTTTTTGAATGTTTGGTAGAATTTCCCAGGGAATCCATCAGGCCCTGGATTCTTTTTTTTTGGGAGGTTTTTGATCACTGCTTCAATCTCCTTACTGGTTATTGGTCTATTCAGGTTGTCAATTTCTTCCTGTTTCAGTCTTGGCAGTTTAGAGGTTTCCAGGAAGGCATCCATTTCATCCAGATTGCTCAGCTTATTGGCATATAGTTGTTGATAATAATTTCTAATAATTGTTTCTATTTCCTTGGTGTTCGTCGTGATATGTCCCGAGTGGATGGGGTGAATTGACCTTGAACACAGTGCCACAAATTATGCACCAAAGTTCCATGGCAGAGTCACTGTGATGTCTGCCATCCACTCAAGTCCTTGTTCTGGGGCCTGTTGCATGCAGTGCCCACAGTAGTCAGTGAAGGTGTATTCAGATATCTTCCAGGAGAACTTCATGGATGTCCCTGGCTTCCTCACCCCAGCCCATACTGTATTATCGGGGCCTGTGAGTTCACACCTGTGGAGAGAGAGAACAGGTGGGGATGAAGTCATCCTTGACTGGCTTTGTCCCCTCTTCAGCCCAGAGACTGGGAGTTCCTTACCTGTAGCCAATGCCACTAAGAGGATTCTCCAGGTCCAGTCCATGGTGAGAGGCTGTGTTCTCAGTGGCTTCTGTAGGGGAGCAGGTGAAGTTGTTGGGTGATGCTCTCAGAACACATACATCCTGAAACCTAACCTAGTGTACCTCAGTATTTGCATATTCATGAAACAGAGTATTTCATACTCAAAACCATACCCATCAAGGTTCAGATAGACATCACAGGGTCTGTGTTCAGTAGGAAGCTAAGGGTCCAAGTCCTAATCCTTGTTTGAGGACATGGGTACCCTGCCAGCTCCCTGAGCTGGCAGCAGAGCTCCTCCCACTGAGGGAATAGAACCCACAGGAAATGCTCCTCATTTTAAACTTACCTTGGAATGAGAGAGACCACCTGAACATTTCTTTGGTTCTAACATTTGAATGTCTTATTCCTGGATCAGCGTGTCTCCAAAATGCTACATCCAATGTGGTAATAAGTGCATTCTCACCTCCACCTCTTTACAATTAAGATATCTGAAAGCCCTGGAATATCATCCTCTTCAAATGTGTTTCTCATTGCCTTGAGTTTTGAATATGCTCCCGACAGAACAGGATATTTGTGCACACTTTAGCATTCCTTGGCCTGCTCATATTTTAGATTGTTTTCTGGAAAAGGAGACCCCAATTTCTGAGAGGAAAAACTTCCCCAGACCCCTGTGCACCTGCTCCTGGGGCAGCAGCCCTGTGCTGGTGGAGTCCTGAGCACCCCCTGCAGCCCAGACCCCAGCCCTGTGGGGAGGACCCTGTCTGGGCTCACAGGTGTTTACTGTACTCTACCCCAGTATTGTGTGGTGGAGGGGAGCACAATATGCCACCCCACATATGCCCCTGGAATTAAAGGTACTTGAGAAACAGCCTGTGCAGAGACACCATGACCTCCTCAGTCCCCCTGAAAGCTGAAGGTACATCTCCCATCAGAAAGGAGCCCTCTCTGTACCAGGAAGAGAGAGATGTCATCAACACCAGAAATAGGAATTTAAGGCCCAGAAGACTGTAGAAGCACACCTTGTTTCTTCACTAACTTAATTTGTTAGTTTATGTTTCCAGAACGGAAGTGCCACACGTAAAAAGCTGTGCTCGCTGCTGCTGGAATAGTGTGGACACCAGCAGGTATGAGGCTGGTCTTGGGGCTGAGGACAGGCAGGAACAGTCATCAATGGCCATCCCTGGATTGCATCTGGTGTCACTATTGCCCCTACAATCCTTACATTCTCTTCCTCAGACAGATCTGTGTCCTGTAGCCCCTCAGTGGTGACACTGGTGTGCTGGTCCTGTGTGGGGAGGGGCATTATATAGCCCAATGGTAAACTCCTGCGACTCAGAGGGACTAGGTGGGGATTGTGAACTTCACAGTTTGCTCCAGAAGTTACCTCTCTTTCCTTTAATAGAAGACACCCAGTGAGAAATCTGTATACTGTTGCAGGTGCAGAGTGGGGTGCAGGATTGGCAGCATCCTTGGCTTCCAGAATCTGCTGGAACATGAGGTCCAGATCGCATCTGAGGGGCTGTGGTCTACCATGAGGACAAGGACGGCCCATCAGCTCTGCTGCCAAGAATTTGTGGGTATTCAGAGAATCAGGAATGTGACCTCCTTCTTTTGGCTCATCCTATCACCTCAGGGTAAACTGTCAATGGGGAGCTCAACATTGTTAATTACGTGAAGTACTTGCTACTATTAGAGAAAAAAAATGTCCAGAGAAGATGCGATAAATATGGAAGTGATAAAATATACAATGAAAGCAGGAAATATCTATAAATTGTATCAGGAGTTCTCTGTGGATTAAAAAAAGCAAACAATATGAACATGGTCATTTATAACCTTATGAGAATGTATCCTCAAACATATGTGTTGAAATCTCATATGTGAGAGACAGAATCAGAGTGGTGGGAGAGAAAGAGAGAATGTGCAACAGAGAAAAATGACTTTTCTGTAATAAATTCATAATTCATAAAGTCTTCAGAGCACATGGAGGGACCTGTCTGTAAGGACCACAGAAGATGGAGAAATCAAGGTGAAAAACCAAGATGCTCCAGATACTGCCCATAAGCCCACGTCCTGCTTCTCTGTCATCCTCCTCCTTCCCATGAGGAATTTGGGTCTGGATGGTGGTTGGTGGGCTCATCCTGGGGCTAGGACCCCTGAAGGGGCCTGTGTAGTAGGGTCTCCTTGTCTCAGGTGGTGTGGGAGTGGAACGCCAGAACTTCCCTTCCCAACTCAGATTAATGTGTTCCTCCCTAGAACCATCTGTGCTCAGGGTGAGTAAAGGACCATGTGGGTTGGATTTTACACGTTATTTTCTTATTTAAATTCAATTAGCCACAGTTTGGCTATCAACATGGATGGGACTGGAGGAGCTTATGCTAAGTTAAATAAATCAAGCATTGAAAGTCAATTATCATATGGTTTCACTTATTTGTGGAACATAAGGAACAGCATGGAGGACACTAGGAGAAGAAAGGGAAAAATGATGGGGTGGGGAATCGGAAGGAGAGATGAACCATGAGAGACTATGGACTCTAACAAACAAACTGAGGGTTTTAGAGGAGAGGGGGTGGGGGGATGGGTTAGCCTGGTGATGGGTATTAAGGGGGGCACGTACTGCATAGAGCACTGGGTGTACGAAAACAATGAATTGTGGATCACTGCATCGAAAACTGGTGATGTATTGTATGGTGACTAACATAACATAATAAAATTAAATTAAAAAATAAATTCAGTTAGCCAACATATAGTAAATCATTACACTCAGATGTAGTGTTCAACAACTTATTAGTGGCATATAAGCATTTCTGTTCCGTGGATGGAAATAGAAGGTATTATGCTGAGTGAAATGTCAATCAAAGAAAGATAATTATACAGTTACACTCATATGTGGAATATAAGGAATAGTACAGAGGATCATAGGGGAAGAGAGGGAAAACTGAATGGGAGTCATCAGACAGGGAGACAAACCATGAGAGATTCTTAACTATAGGAAACAAACAGAGGGTTATGAAAGGGAGGTGGGTGGGGGCATGGGGCAACTATGTGATGGGCATTAAGGAGGGCTCGGGATGTGGTGAGCACTGGGTGTTATATGCAACTGATAAATTATTGAATGCTATATCTGAAACTAATGATGTACTATATGTTTGCTAATTTAATTTAAATAAAATTTTTTTTTAAAAGAAAAAGAAAAGATTATCCACATAACACCCAATCCCTCTGCCTTGCTCTGCACGCAGATGAGCTTGTTTCCATATGTAAATGCTGAAGTATAGTTCCTAACTCCCCCTTTTGTAGATGGAGACTGGTGATTTTATCCATTGCCATCATTTCCAGGACCCCATATCTGATTTGAGAGAGAGAATGACCCAAACTGTGCAAGTAGTCAGGGTCTAGACTCCGGGCCACTGCCTTGTCCTCCAGGCTTGTGAACAGGTAACTCTGCAGGTTGAAATTGCAGCCCACAGTTGGACAGCCTGACAATAGAATACAAGGGAACCTTTGTAAGTTTTCCACATGTTCATCAACTCCAGCACAAAACTTCTCTAGCAACTGGGGCCAGAGAACGGTTCAGCTGGAACTGGAGCCTAGATCACCAGGACCAGGCTCAGTGGGTCCTCACACCACCCAACGTGGGGACACCAAGAACTGGTGACTGTCACCAGGGCTCAGGATCTTTTAATGTCTCCTCTCCCCCACAGGGATCCACATGCAAATCACCTTGGGTGCTCCCAGAAGAAATCGGCATCACAGGCAGAGGCCAGTGTGCTGGGTCTCCAACCTGCAGACAGCCATGCGGATGCTGTGGTCCCTCCTCTGCCTTCTGGCAGCTCCTCTGGGTAAGGGTCTGGGAGCTCTGGGATAGATGGAGGGCCTTTCTGTGGGATGGGACAGACTCACCATGATTCTCTTTGTCCCTAGGTGTCCTGTCTCAACTTACACTTCAGGAGTCAGGCCCAGGACTGGTGAAGCCCTCACAGACCCTCTCTCTCACATGTGTTGTCTCTGGGGGCTCTGTGACCAGTAGTTACTATTGGAACTGGATCCGCCAGCGCCCTGGGAAAGCATTGGAGTGGATGGGGTACTGGACAGGTAGCACAAGTTACAACCCGGCTTTCCAGGGCCGCATCTCCATCACTGCTGACACGTCCAAGAACCAGTTCTCCCTGCAGCTGAGCTCTGTGACCACCGAGGACACGGCCCTGTGTTACTGTGCGAGAGGCACACTGAGGAGACATCAGTGTGAGCCCAGAACACAAACCTCCCTGCAGGGTCACAGGAGGGGCTGGGCTACAGGTACCCCCAGAATCCACCAGGGGGCACTCAGGACTCTGGTGGCACTCAGGTCACCTTGCGGAGCTCAGGTCACCAGGGGGTGCTCAAGAGACAAGGGGCGCTCAAGACACAAGGGGACACTCAGGTCACCATGGGGCGCTAATGACCCACCAATACATTTTCAACACCAGAAACAGGTGCAGTTAGAGATTAAATGCATGTTTCCAGTCACAGTTTGGTACTTCGTTTCCATAAAGTAGTTTCCTCAGGGGCCTCTCTAGAATTATAATTTGATTTTACCTCCTACATATGGGAAAAGAAAAGTTAGGTGTAATAGGAGAAAACTATATTTCATGTTCAAAAGGCAGAACGTCACTTACACTTGCTTAATCTTTCCCAAATTGATGATTAATTATAGATATTCTGATTTATGTCCATGAAGTCTGTAAAAAGGTTCAGCTGTACTCAACACAACACCACACAGCCCAGTTTACAAGCTATAAGCCAGCATCATAACGTTCATGCTAGACATCAGGTACAGGGGCATCATGAAGCCAAAGCCAGAAAACAATGGCCCCAGTGCATGGGGATCATTGTGTGGACACCATGTTCACAGCTTCTATTTAGTTGACATCATCCAGAAGCAGAGGGACCCCAACCAAGCTTGGCACAGTTGGTGAATCAGATGATCCAACACACACATAACAAGAGAATAGAAAATGCTTATGGACCTTGGGGAATGCCACACAGCATGTCAGAAATGCTTTAATAAATCCAGGAAAGGATATGAAATCAGGGATTTTTTTTATTGTGGGTCAGTGCTAGAAATGTCCTGAGGGATCTGGAACATCAAAGGCACACAACCTAGGCTTTCCTATGAGATTTCCCATGTGTGGAGAAGAAGTTGAAGGAATGAGGCTTCTGGTGTCAGTAATGAATCATCAGAAGATAAAGTCTGATGACTAATTCCATGCAAAAACTATAAAAATAAGTGAAAGAGAACATAAATAATCAATAGGTATAGACAACCTGAGTCCCTAGAAAATGAGAATGATAATATATAAGCAGACAATAATAATAATGAAGCTACTAGAAGTGGACAGGGGTCTTACCCAATGTCTGCAGTGGAAGCTGTCCACTCTCCAAGGTCACCAGCTGGTTCTGAAGGTCTTGTGTTTGCTGTGTGCATGCAGAGACCAGAAGCTTCTACTGGATCCATAAGAATCCTCAGGCTGAGGTAGTGGATGGGAGGAACTTTCCACCTGCAGGGAATAACTAATTGATCCTTCAGTTGCTGATATCAACTCAATGTGTGTGATCTCTACCATCACCATGTTGAAACTTAACACCAATGTGATGGAAGGAGGAGGTGGGGCCTTAGGAAAGCATTAAGGTCAGGAGGGTGCAGCCTCATGATGGGATTAGTGCCCTTATACACTAGGACTGGGAAAGCTCCCAGCCCCTTGACCCCATGTGAGGTGACAGGGCAAAAATGGGCTAAGACATGGGTGCTCTCCAGACACCAAATCTACCTGCACCTTGACATGGGACTTCCCAGACTCCAGAACTGTGGAAATGTGTGTCTGATGTTTAAAACCACCCAGTCCGTGTACATTTTCACAGCAGCTGGAACAGACTAAGACATTAGTGACACATGATCCCAGGCATTTTCTCTGGCATTTCTATAAGATGTGGCTGTGATGACCAATAGGATTTGAGTCTTAGCATCTCCTTACAGACTTCTGTTATACTGACTGCCATGAGCTGTGTGCCTCGGTCACTGGATATGATGTTAATACCACATGTCTCCAACCTACATCTGTGACTCTCCATCACAAGTAGGGGGTAGGTTCCCCTTGGCATGTGCATTACTGGAAACCCTCAAGGCACCTACATTACTTGTTTACCCTTTATCTTGTTATTTGTATGCAATCCTTTTTCTAATGGGTCCCTACACAAGCCAGGTAACACCTCTTGATGACAAATTCTATCAACTCTGCTATCCTATTACATAGTATACACATGATCATACCTCATACTGAAGCTGTTTCAGGGAAGTTAAGTCCACTCATGATGAGTAGGGCAGCTCTGAAATACCAGAGGCAGTGGAGTGGCCCAGCTTTGTCCAAACTGAACATGATTTGTACACTTAGCAGCTATCCCAAACATGCACACCAAGGAATTTATTAATTTTTTTATTCTAAGCACTATTTTATTAATTTTATTGTTATCTTAGTCAACATAAAGTAATTCATTAGTTTTTGATGTGGTGATCCACGATTCATTGTTTGTGTATAACATCCAGTGCTCCATGCAGCACCTTCCCTCCTTAATACCCATCACCAGGCTAACACATCCCCCCACCCCCCTCCCATCTAGAACCCTCAGTTTGTTTCTCAGAGTCCATAGTCTCTCATGGTTCATCTCACCCTCCGATTCCCCCCCTTCATTTTTCCCTTCCTTCTCCTAATGTTCTATGCTATTCCTTATGTTACACAAATAAGTGAAACCATATGATAATTGACTTTGTCTGCTTGACTTATTTCACTTAGCATAATCTCCTCCAATCCCATTCATGTGGATGTAAAAGTTGGGTATTCAGCCTTTCTGATGGCTGATGAATATTCCATTGTATATATGGACCACATCTTCTTTATCCATTCATCTGTTGAAGGGCATCTTGGCTCTTTGCACTGTTTGGCTATTGTGGACATTGCTGCTATGAACATTGGGGTGCATGTGGCCCTTCTTTTCACTACATCTGTGTCTTTGGGGTAAATATCTAGTAGTGTAATTGCTGGGTCATAGGGTAGCTCTATTTTTAATTTTTTGAGGCACTTTCACACTGTTTTTCAAAGTGGCTATACCAACTTGCATTCCCACCAACAGTGTAAGAGGGTTCCCCTTTCTCCACAACCTCTCAAACATTTGT